TCAGGTGAGCTGTATTTTTTCAAGAATTATCTTTCTTATTACAAATTACAGATACTATGACAGCAAGTTCTCTGTTCCTTTTCATGGCCTCATCCTTTTCTGTATGACATCTAGAAAATCCTTGCAAACACATTTGGTAACCTAATGATAATTCCATAGCATAAATTATGCAGCCAACATAACAAAAAGGCGAAGGTTACAAAAAACTTTGTTCTTTTCAAGAAGATGCTCATTGGCACTTAACCCATCACAAATGGAAGATTACCAGTACTAAAATTAAAATACTTGACTCACTATGTATCAAATTAAATCTATCCAGCTTCTGAGTTTAAACAAATTCAGATGCTATAACTCAATTTATATAACACCTTTGTAAGGTACTTCTTTATTAAAACCAATTTGCTAGTTCCATATTTGCATTAAGCCAAAAGAGCTAATTGCCAGTTGTGTTCCAACAAGGATTGGTAGTCTGCCTTGAATGTTGCCCTACTTCACCCTAAGAAGAGGTGACAATGAACAGTCCTACTACACTCAGGAGAGCACCCACATGGCCCTCTGATTCCAGCAGTCCAACTCATAAGGAGGATAAATATTTTTTATTTTAACCGATCTATATGTCTGTTCCAGTCTGTTCTTATGTCTACACTTCTACATTTAGCTTAATTTCTACCTTTTAACCAATCAGCAAAACACTTCTGTTAGCAGAGCAACAAGCCTGACCTAAGGTAAGGCGGATCACCCCTTAAACAAATAGATGGATTGGTGAAGGCAAATGACTCATTTGAATTAAAATAATAGCAGTCTCACTTTAGTATTACCTACTGTTCAGTGCTGCAGACCCATCTAACATACAACAGCATTTCTTTTGCACAGCAGAGTTCATTATTATAATGTCACACATAATAACACTAATACCTTACTTCCACTGATCTTACATCTACATTTATCTTCACTTTCATGGTGCCTTATTCTGCCTCAGTCTCTTTGAATCCTGTATGTACACTGAATGCATATGCAGAATCAAATAAGAAAACTTATTTTATGTAAGTAGATTCAGCACAAAGAAGGGGATAGCTATTTCTATAATGATTAAGATACTTAAAAGATAAAGAGATTGATTTTAGACACAGATGTACAATTTGAAATTCACACATGGTGCTAATGGTTACCTGCTCATCTGCTCATTAAATATTTTTTCTCTTTTCTGTCTCTTCTGTTAAAAATCTTACAGTCATTTGTGAAAGATTATATGATATCTATCACAAGACTTCTGCTGGGACTTGATACCACACCAGGATCTGGGTTTCTTTGTTCTGTAAGTTATTGAACAAAAACAACAACCAAACAAATATTATTACAGAGTACCAGAGAAGATTCTGTACTGTCTGCAAAATACCTCTACTTTTTTTGTATAGCACTTTTATGAAAGTCCAAGAAAGGCCATTTGTTTCCTTTTTCACCAAAGAAGATGACAAGAAAATTAGATAGAAAACTTACCCACTTTTAGTAACTTCCATAGCAAAAAACCACCTCCTCCCCAAGAAAACACAATGCATTCTGTAAAGCACAAAGTAAAACAGGAAAAAGAGGAAAAGAGGAAGTGCATTTTATATGAAATAGCAATGGCAGTTCAGCAACCAGTCTTAAAAATTAAGTATATAAAAACCAGGAAGGTCTACCTATATTGTACAGCTTGGCTAGCACTTTACACACAATGCTAATTTCACCACTCCCATTTCCATCATAGGCAATAAAGGGAAGAACTGGATTTTACATAAAGATAAGCTGTATTAAGTGACTTGAGGTGTGAAAGTTCAAAAGTCATTTTGTTATTATGTATATTACTATTCCCTAATGCAGAGTTTATATCTATTTTTATATGTATATACACACACACACAAAAAAAATAAAACCCTAACAATTTAATTTTTATTAACAATAAACCCCACTTCTATTTTCTCCCACACCCATCACACCCCAGATGGCAAACAGATGAATAGAAGTTGAGTTATTTACTAGTTGCTTTCTGGGGAACCATAAAGAATTGCAGGATGTTGTTCTCAAAAAGGAAGTCGTCAATGATGGTTCAAGAATGTTGTTTAAATAAAAAACAATTACAGATTTGTTGGTCAGTCATTAAGCTTTGTTACAGTGAATGCAAGACAGTTGAATCTCTGAAAAGGGGCTCACATCTTGAAATAAAGGTGTAATAGTAATTAAATACTTCAGATTAATTTAAGACTGTCTTATGCTATTTATGCTTAGTGTATTACTTCAAGTTTTTAAGTCATTTTAAAACAAGAACAGAAGTAATTTTGTAAGACTGAACCATTTGCACTGCAATGGCTCCCAAACAGGGAGAGAACAAAAGAAGCAGTGTTTACAGACTCAATAGAAGTTCCAGATTTGTTGTGGAGCAAAGGTGCAATACTATGATATGATCATTACCAGCTACTGTTTAGTTTGAAAATTTTTTTAAACAGTAGTATAGCGAACAAGTGATAAGCCCTCAAGAATTAAAAATGCTCCTTATTATTATTATTTGTTCAGATGAAAATCACAGAAGAGGATCTATGGATTAGGACATATGCCAGACTATATCAGAAACTTTGTTCTTCTACAGGAGACATTCCAATTGGAGTCTATAGGACAGAATCCCAAAAGCTTACAACATCTGAGGTATGTCAGTTTACTGTATTTTTCTTTGCATTTAATTACAGAGTATACAACATTCTTTTGTCCTCATAAGAATGGGAACCACTTACTTCAAGAATATTGTGAATGCCATATCTGCAAATGCACAGAATTCCAAATAGCTCACTGAAGGTCTCCCCTCTGCAGACATGTATATGGTCACATTGTCTCAGGGCACACATTCAGCCCCAGACTTTATGAATACCCAGAGCCAGTTCACATACTGACTTTCATTTCTGTGCTTGCCTGCAGAGAACTGACTGATTGAAAACAAGCGGCAGCTCAGGTGGGGATAGGACAGGCTGGGATAGTTGGCTCTTGTCTGAACTTGCATGTGGTGACTGACAGCAGCATAGAGCACAAGCTCTATGACCAGGTCCTGTATCAGATGTGACAAAAATGTCAACACTGTATCTCAAAACAAGTGGCATTTCAGCATTCACATGAATTTCTAACTAGAAATGAGCAACAAGAGAATAAATTAATGTTATTAAAAGTATTGTGGGATTTCTCAAAATTTAGCTGCCAAACAGTGGTAATTTTTTGTATATATGCATTTGTGTGTCTGCCATATAAATGTATTCATTTTCCCTATATGTAGAATGACAAAAATACCTTTCCCTGACTACTTAATGTACATTTTTTTGTTTGTGCAGCTTTTATTTATGTCATGTATAAGCCATTTGTTTATGTGATCATTAATACTGCCATCTCATTAAATCATGGCTCAAATACAGCTCTAAAATGCAACAGTGAACAACTGTCTCCGTTCTTCTGAAATACTCATAGTTTACTGATTTCCAAGACAGACAATTTATATTCTCTCTTCTGTATTTCAGAAAAATGTTATAAAACTTTAAGCCATGTAATACTTAACTGCAAGGTTTATCTTGAAGTACAAACTTTCAGTTAAAGTTAATTTAAAAAGAAGGGTTACAAAAAGCTATGCACGATTCCACCAAGTTTGCTAGTGTCTCTCTATGCACCACCAGTACCTCTACAGGTGGCTTTTAGAGCTTAGCCAGTGGACTGTGCTACTGCAATTATGTCAGCTGATTTTTAAAAATATAACAGCATTAACATAATCCATCAAAATCATTCCTTGGAGAAGAATATAGGCAGCATCACTGCTAATATGAAAAAGAGTCTGTCAACAAAACTCAACAAAACAGAGGGCGTGCCAGATTTAAGAATTCATTAAGGATAAGTAAGAAAAAATTCATGGCAATGCTTTATTCTCACATTCACAGCTGGCTGTTTAACTTCAGGGCCAAAAAAAAAAAAAGAATCAAGAACAGTTGAACTGTGAGCGTACAACATATTTTGTAGACTGCATTTTGTGGCCTGTTTTTCTCCTTTCTGCATTTTCACGTGCTTTCAAACATACAGGCTGACTGGCAAACAGCATCTGTCCAGGTAACTGTAAGAGTAACACTCATCTTTTTTACATTAACTTTTTGGCAGGTGTGTGGGGGTTAAACATACACACTCAAATAAGTCTTCTGAGGCAAGATTAACTGACAAATTAAAGATCTTTCAAATGTTTTTCTGCAAACAAGGTTTGGGACCATCAGTCACTTAACTCTAAACCCACAATTTTACCATAACATTGGGAACCTCTGGAGCATGCACACATGCAGCTGCTGAGGGCTTGGACACTTGATCAGACCAGGCCCAGAATTACTTTAAGATAGTTAGTATCTTTTGCAAAGAAGCAGTCTTAAAACATTCAGACACTGAAACCAGCCTGGAAGCCACTGTCTAATAGATAAGAGGAGTTCTGCTATTACTTCCTACCAGCCTTTACAGCTAATCTTGTGAAGAGTTTGAGTTAAATCAGGTAGAGGAAGAAAGGACGGGGAAATCTAGTTAAGGTTTCAAATTATCAGGAACTGGACTGATGTGGAAGAGTGGCACTGTCTTTGTTTATTAAGTGAAGTCAAAGTATTTGTTACTCTTTTGAAAAAGCTCAGGACTCTGAATGCAGACCACCATGGGTATTTTCATACTTAAATACTTGAGCAGTTTCTTGTTTAGTGGGTGAGCATGTCTTAAACCCTCCCACTCTAGAGAGGCGCAAGGGAATCTTCCCTAACCTAGCTCTTCCCCAGAATACAAAAAAGCAACATCTAGCTCTGCTGCTTTGGTCCTTATGGGTAGGTACCCACAAATGCAGAGATGCAAAGTGTTTCTTTTGAAGCTAAAGGAATTTTAGACTAATTTCACTGATAAAATAATATTAGTGTGGGCTATCATTTTATCTTTTCTCTATATTAAGCCAGAAATAACTTTAAAATAGTGTTGGATGATATCTTTAAAATGGAGGTTAAAGAAATGTAAATTGCTGTTTTTCTCAGGAATATGAACTTCTAACCATAATTTGAAGGTTTGTAACTCAAGGAACCTCCAATGTGTATATCAATCATAAACTTAAACAGACATATAAAACTTAATTTGTCTTGCACACACCTGGAAGCTGTCAGTTAGCAATGTGTATATCAATCATAAATTTAAACAGACATATAAAACTTGTCTTGCACACACCTGGAAGCTGTCAGTTAATGGTTGAGTCACAAGAACAAAATATGCCAATACTAATATTTCTATATGTACAATTTCTCCTTTGACACTCCCTTTTTGTACTATGCAAATGAGAAGCCTTCACTTCACTGTGACAGATAAATATAATTCCTTTAAAAAGAAAGCAAGTTTTTTAGTGATCTAATTACTAAATAACAGGCAAATCTAGCCTGCCTCTCATCGACCTGCACAGTCTTCCTTACTAACTGTCTAGCTGATTTTCTGTGGTTCCTGTTAAACAGTCCATGTTTATTTCTTTGGATTCACTTCTGTTTAAATTGTCTTTTGTTTTCTTTTTCCCATTCCTTTGTCAGTCACGAGAAATGGCTTCACAAGTAAGTATTTGCTTATTGTCCGCCTGTTTCTGGGTGTCGTGGTTTAAGCCTGGTCAGCAGTAGGCACCATGCAGCCACTCACTCACTTCCCCCATCTCTAGCGGGATGGGAGAGAGAATCGGAAGGGTAAAAGTGAAATAACTTGGGGGTTGAGATAAATACAGTTTAATAGGCAAAGTAAAAGCTGCATGTGCAAGCAAAGCAAAATAAGGAATTCACTCACTACTTCCCATTGGCAGGCAGGTGTTCAGCAATTTCCAGGAAATCAGGGCTCCATCACACATACTTGGGAAGACAAATGCCATAACTCCACAAATCCCCTCATTCCTTCATCTTCCTCTAGCTTTTATTGTTGAACACAGCACCATATGGCACGGGATATCCCTTTGGACAGTTGGGGTCAGCTGTCCTGGCTGTGTTCTCTTCCCAGCTTCTTGTGCATCCCCAGCCTACTCACTGGCAGGGCACTGTGTGAGAAGCCAAAAAGGCCTTGACACTGTGTAAGCACTGCTCAGCAATAACTGAAACATCCCTGTGTTATCAACACTGTTTTCATCACAAATCCAAAACATAGCCTCATACAAGCTACTATGAAGAAATTTAACTTTGTCCTAGTCAAAAACAGTGCACTGGGTTCTACTCGGGGAATAAAATCCTTACAGGAAATGGAACTATGCAATGGATCATCCTTGAGTAAGTAAAGCTTAAAGCAACATTGTTCTGGACACAAATATCTTAATAAAAATCTGAAACTCAATGGAATTTGGTCTCTATTGAGCCTGTCCCTATTAAATTCTCAAGATAACAGATCATCTGTCATGTCTGGTGAAAGCCTTGATCCTAAACACCATAACTGCTAATGGACAAAAATCCCCAAGTTTATCATAAAAGTAATATGTAGAAAAGGAATGGTTCAGACAGCTGTTGGAGCACGAAAGCATTCCTAGAACCCTAGATGCAATTTAAGGGCTACTTGTAAACAGAACAGTAAAGTTATTTTAAAATAAAACTTACAGTTAGATAAAAATAAGGCACTGCTTCAGAATAGAACAGATCAATCTGCACATTAAAACTGTTTCATATCTTACACACTTAGCTCCCAGGGAGTGGTAATGGAACAAAGATCCAAGAAACTAATTGCTGTTTGGTGTTGTAGTGCTGTTACCACCCTGACCATCTCAAACATGAACACTGGTGTGTTCATGACTACATTCCCATTCCTGCCACGTGTTGGCCAACCTGAGCTAGTGTTTAAATAGGTGTGTGAAACATCCTATTGTAGCACCTTGCCTGAGGGGAAAAACCCCTGTGGGTCACAGAGGTGCAGCGGCACAAGTGAGCAATCACACTATGACACTCATTTGGGCACACAATCTGATACTTGAGATGAGAACCCGCTTTTAAAAAAACCCAAACCTGAAACTTTAAAAAAAAAAAAAAGGCAAACAGTTATTCACTTTAAGTGTGACATACAGATTTTTCTCTAGTAAAAGCAGTAGTGATTATGTAAAGACTTAACATGGACCTTGGTATTTTCCAGAGATTTCACCATGATTTTATTTTAAAGAATCTCAAAAAAAATAAAAATACAATTCATAAAACATAAGATGATCAATTACTCCTATATAGTAGTAGTGACACCATATCATCAGTTAGGCTTCTCATGCAGCAAGTTTACAACCTATGCAAAAAGGAAATTAAATGTAAACAAATTAAGCCAACCAAACTTCAAAATAAATCAATGATCATTACAGAAGTATTTTTAAATAAAGTTTGAGACTGATTAAAACAGAGGGCGACACAGAAAAGTACTGTGTGCTGGACTTTTATCTTCTATGTATTAAACAGCTGCTACTGGCAGGCACAGTTTTGGGCTGCCTTTGAAAGTGGGTTTGGGTTCCTTTGGTTTTGCTTTATCTTTAAGCAGTTTCCTCCAGCATACAGGGAAGGGCCATTCTGCACACCTGTCTCAACGTGCACCATAAAAACTGAATAGTCACCTAAGTAAATATTTAACTTTATTGCCTTCATTTATGGTTTCATCTCACCTATCCCAGGGTTTCAAAAGTTCAAGCTAAAGATTTACAGTTTCACAGAATCAAAAGACTTGTTCTTTTACTTAGCCTCTCCTGATTAATCTCCGGTTTCAAAAATGTAACTTACCCTCCTGTAATAATTAGGATGATTGGTTGCTGTCTTTCCAATACTACATACTGCCAGCAAGTCCAGGTGGTTGTTTCATCAAGAGTTGGACAAGGAAAGCTACCAAAGCAGACAGGAAGAAAGGCAAAACAAGACCATCCTTTATACTCAATTTCTATCAGATTTCTCACACCAAAGAGACCCTTCCCATCCATAAGTAGCACCTTATCATATAGAATGTACTTTGATTACGTTAATCTGTACTGTAAAATACAAGAAAAACCAAAACATCAATTTAAAATAATAACAACAAAAAAAAATCAAATAGCATTCCTATACACAGGGATTCAAGGTTCTCACTTAGGACCACTTACATCAGTAACAAAGCTTCAAAAAACATGTAATTTTTTTATAAAAAAAGCCCTTTCTATTGCAGATTAAGCTGAAGAGACTCAATAAATTAGTGGGTCTTTGCATGAGGCTGGTTGCAAGATCCTAGTCTAGAATATTAAAAATGTGATTTTATTTGAAGTGCTACAACATAAGCATATTTAATGTTCTTTTTAATTATTGGTTTTGATTGTTTTATTGTGTGTTTGGGGTTCTTTTTACACAAATAAAATGTAGTCTGTGCAAAAGGGGAAAAAATAGTATAGTTTTCACAGTTGGACTTATATCAAATACTATTTTATGGACTCCAGGAACCTTGCAAATTCTGTCAGAGATCATGCCAAGCCTCTTAAAGAAAAGTTATATTCAACACTGATGAATTCAAAAGAATCTTGCTTTCAGATTTTAAATTTATGGGAAAAGGCCTTTTGAACCTCAGTAGCTCTTCAGTTAAATTTGCTTTATTCACTGATAACTTCCAGCATATCATGAACTCTTTTTGTTCTTGAGGAGTCATACAAACTGAGCTGGCTCCACTTTAAGTCACCTTTGGTTTATACTTCATTTATTTATTTTCAGCACTCAACACACTGAAATCAGTCACCAGTAACTTGGCAATATGGCTGTGCTGATACCAGGGAGGGTTTCACTATTTCGTTGTCAATAAAAGACATGTTTCAAAGATCACAACGATAACTCAGGATTATAAGGAAGTAGTTATGAAACTTGAAACTACAGGTATTAATTAGATGTAAAATAGACATAAAACAATTTTGAAGTTATCTTTTGAAATGTTTCCTCTTATATTCCCTGTGATTTTTTTTGTATATGTTAGAAATGCGTATGTAGCCCACGTAGTTATTTTGGTACTGCTGTATGCATATAGTATTGGTCACACTTGGGTGGCATAAAGAAAACACAGCAACAGAGGGCCAGATTTTGACCCTTAATTCTGCTTTTTTTCACAACTATATGAGTGAAAAAGCAAGGCATTATGCTTTCAGGTAAGAATTAATTACCTTGTTTGTGAGAAGTGCCCTGAGTCACACTAAAGACTAGTGCATACGTCCCTATTCTCAGACACAGAGGCATTCTAGATATTACATGCTGGAAGGTCAAAAAAAGCCTGGGAATTTGAGACACAAGTAACAGGTTCCTTCCACCTGCGATCTTAAAATAGCACTCAAAACAGTGCAGTCAAAGTTGAATCCACAACATACATCTAAAAAGCAGTTACAGAATGTGAATTTCTGAAAATACGCAAACATGGAAGAAAGTGGAGAAGTCATTCAGAACAGATTCCTAGATTCAGGAATGGCAGTACCAGAAGACTAGAGTTGTTCTCAGAACCAAAATGGAATCAGACACTGAATACTGCTTCACTGTTTTTGTACTTGAGAAATGTATTTATATCATAAATGAGCTTTTTATATAAAAAGTCAAAGTCTAGTAAAGGGTGCCCAGTTCAGGAAGACTTGTTAGGTATGAACAGCTGAATCCTCTCAGCTCCATTGCAACCAAAACACATGGTCAACTGCACTGTTGGAAAGAGGAGAGACCATCTTAATCTGCTTCCGTTTGTTAAAGCCTGTAACCTTTCTTGTCATTTTCCTTTCAAGTCTCAAATCTCTATCAGTGTGGAAGAATGGGAGGACACTAAAGACAACAAAGAACAGATTAATTTTCGTAGTAATCACCGTAACTCAACATCTAGTGATCAGTCTGATCATCCCTTGTTACGACGAAAAAGCATGCAGTGGGCCCGACGGCTGAGCAGAAGAGTACCAAGACACTCTGGTAAAACAGCTGAGAAGATAAACCAGCAGCGAATGAACCTCTACAGGAGGTCAGAAAGACAGGAGCTCGCTGAACTCGTGAAAAACAGAATGAAGCATCTGGGCCTTTCTCCAGCAGGATATGGTATGATTACTATAATACTTTAAATTAATAAAAACTTTAGTATTATGCAAGAACTTATTTTTAAGAACTGAGGGTGCCATAAACAAAATATTAAGTTTATGGTAACGTTTTGATGGTTTGTTTTTGTTTGCTTTTTTAACTGAAACATGCTGGAGTGTTTTTAATTAGTTCTATTATCACCCGTCCCTTTTTTCAGATGGAAAACTCAGAAGGGAGCATGTCTGTCACATTTATGTTTAGCACATATGATAATATGTAAACATTCCCCTGTCATTGAACAACTGCACCATATTTCCACAAACTTGTTGAAATATAGATGAAGACAGAACTGTCGTGAAGTTCACTCATACATCAAGGTAGCAAGTTGTTTATATGTGAAGGATACTGCGTTTTCCCCACAATTTTTAAAATTAATGCCAGAGTGTCACATTAAAGTAATTTTTATGAAGCAGGTCTTTAGATGCTGTTTTTATACATCAAGTCCTCCAGCAAGGATGACACTAGGTTGCTTTTTTGGGTGGTTTTGGTTTGTTTTGTTTTTAAGCTATTGGCACGAGCTCTGTAACTTCCTTTTTAATATATGCACCACAGTTGCCTGTGTTGCCTTTCTACGGCCTTGGCTCTGTAGTGTGTTGTGTGGAAACCCCCAGAACTATTGGTGTGAGTTTTCCTAGGAACACCAGGAATTTCTAGCTCCCAAATTATTTGTTGGCCTAGCAGGTCCAATATGGAGCTTAGTGCTTTCTATTTCAGAAGCACCAACACTGAGTTTCCTATACTCAATTTTAATTTGAAGAATCCAAAATGTAAATGTTTTACAAATGTGTTACTCTTCATTAAACTAGTCTCACTGCAGCACTCCGGGAAGTGTACCAAGGGAAAGCTACACAAAAGATACTGCAATGACAGCTACAAAAGCGTAGCGAGACTCGACTAGGCAAAAACCTTAAAAAAAAAAAAAAAAGGAATTTATGTCAGCCTTCATTTGCAGCATTCCGTTAGAAGGATGGTTAAAAATGTGAGAAATAAATACCAGTTTCCATTTATCCAGCATTCACATTTCAACCCATTGGCACAGGTCATAAAAGGAAAATGCTTACTAGATAAATAGAGAAAGGAAAAAAAAAGGTCTATTATTGATCAAATCTGGAAATGAATGAGAATGCCGTACACCTGCATTTAACCTTGCCTATCACTTGAAGTCAGTGCCAACTGAGGATGGAAATCGCTGCTTCCCACATACTAACATAAACCACATGACAGATTGGTAAATTACACTAAAATTGAATTGCTATGACTGAAGAAAATGTAAAAGAACATTTTTAGAACATTCAGAAAGAAAACAGGATCTTTTGAAAGCTGATACAAAAGGACAATACAAAACCAGGACAATGCTATGTCAGATAACTCCAATTCAAGTACAGTTGAAAAGTTGCTGAACTTACTTAAAATCACTTTGACACCTGACATTTTTTGACAGCTCTATGAATCAAAGATGATTACTTTTTCAGAAATCATACTTCTCTCAATTTGTTTGTATATATAATTAATTTGGTATGATTTTTTTTTGTTCTCTAGATGAAATGAACGATCATCAGAACACACTTTCTTACATCCTGATCAATCCTTCTCCAGATACAAGATTAGAGCTGAATGATATAGTGTAAGTTAAAGAAAAAAAACCAAAAAAAACCCCTGAAACATGCAAAATTTGTTATTTGCACTTTCTGCCTGAATTTATTTTATTTATTTTCTGTTGGAAAAGAACTGCAAACTCTCCTGTGCACCTGCCAAAAATAAAAAAAAAAAAGGAGATTTCTGTCTAAATAGACACCTAATTATACATATATTTATATATTTAAAATAAATATAAATATATAATACATATATTAGTATTTTTTTTTACCTGTAGTATTTTTTTTTTACCTTTATATTCTCTCATCTTCCTCTTACTCTGTGTATTTAAAAAACTATCTAACCAAGTCTACTGGATAGCATCACAAATTTAATATTCTCATTAAATTCTTGCTTACAATTTGGCTACCCTGTTTTAATAGAAAGATCAACCCCTCAAAATCAGGTGTTTGCAAATGGGATTTTATTACATGGATTCAGACTATTAAAGTAAACAACAGTCTTCCCCTGAATATCATGCAATATTCATGCTTAAGATAATTCGAATACAAATGGCAGGACCTTAGCACAGGAAATTTTTTTTCACTTGCTTACGAGCAATTTTGCAGACTATATGAAAAAAGAAAAAAAAAAGGAGAAAAAAGTGAACACAAATCTGAACTTTTGAGAAAGTTTTGAAAGTCAATAATTTTAGATAATTATTTGGCATTGTCTCATACTGAAGTCATGCACACAATGCCTATTTGGATATTTAAGCATTTTCATTTGGCTGAGGAGGAGGAGATGGACAGACGTGGTGCCAAAATTTCTGAGAATATGAGAGGAAGGATTCTTTCAGATTTCATTTTCCTGCACTGTAATTTTCTTTCTTTGAAAAAAACCCTATCAAAATCAGGATTTTAAATAAACTTTACAATGGCTTCAACAGTACTAGTCATCTTTGGACAAGCTTAAGATACTGGGATTGAATCTAGTTGTCTGTCTTCTCTTTAGGAGCACAGTGGCACTGGAAAGCACTGATAGTTTAGAACATGGAAATGTTAGTTCTGCAGCAGTGCAAAGCTGCTACTCTGTCAGTCCCAAAAGCTGCCTCAGATCAGATAGTTTGTCATTGAGACAGGTGACAAAACAGTGCAGAATTTACACATAGAAATTAATGGCAAGCTCTTCCATCCTTATCCTAAGAAAAGTGGTTATTTTAAACATCTCAAACTTAGATTCAAACTCATGAGGCATTTTCCTGAAGTATTTGGATCTACTAGAAGTTCTTAGAATAATGGTCCATGTCCAGACTGTCAGCCTACAGCAAGATTATCAACATCAAGCTTTTCATTTATTGAGCTCAGTAGTAAGAATTATCTATTGTTTTATTTCAAAATTATTTTAGAAATGACAGTATGGACTGCTTGTCCCTTCTTTAAGGCATAATGAATAAAGGAGATGCACCAAGAAATAGAGTTACTGGCAAAGGTGCTATTAGTCAAAATTAATGTTTAGGTGTGCCTAGTAGATACAGATGATGTCTATGCAGACAAAATGTGAAAAGCTTTAATAGCATATAGAAGTTAGTGGTGTTGCCTAGATGTCCAAGTTACCCAACAGGAACTAGACTAAGAACCTTCAAAGTAAGTCTCTAAGTCTTCCTCAGATCTTTTCAACATTACAACTATATGCACTTATTTTATCCTTGCTTGCACCTTAAAAATAATTATTATTTCTTTTTATAGATACTTGATCCGACCTGATCCATTGGCTTATGTTCCAAATAATGCACCCAGCCGAAAAGACAGCTTCTGCAATACAGTGGGACAAGACACCAGGGAAGAAACACAACTTTGATATGTAACTCATCACAAAATTAAGAGACAATTTTATACACATGTTGTTTCCACTAACCATTTTGAAAACTAAGTGGTACATTTTATTCAGATTTTGGAAACAAAATGACAGTGGGTAAGTCATCAAATTTAGAAATGTGGTGTTTAGAAACTCTGATTTAGGGATTATCAGGCTTGTGGCCGGTTCAGTATGGTAGTTGAACTTTGTCAGCTTAACAGAATGATGATACCTATTACTATTTAACCAATATGAACAAATGATTTAAAAGTGACAGATTCCATCACGTGTTTTGCTTAGATGCTTCTAAGCGTGCTTATCAAGGTGACAGCACATCAGTGACAAAGCTTCTGACCTACATCAGTAAAGATAATCTGATGCCTGTAGAAAGACCATGCATAATTTGTAGTAGAAAATATATTAATACCTAAAGGCACCACCAAGGCTTTGCATTGCAAGAATCCAGCCTTTAAGAAAATTTTCAATCTCAGCCTGTCACCCATTTATATAACAGGCTAGTTTCAGTCCCATTTTAGCCTCCAGGACCTGACCGTTAGTTCTCTGGATTTAGACAGGTTGGGTTGTAATGACATAGCCTTGTCACACTGTAGAGGTTGAGATTTGAGGCATATCCACCGAAAGATTAGCTCAGAGGAGCCCACCTGGAGGAAAGTCCCTATCATCTCACACAGGCAGCCCCCTACATTTGCAAAACTGGGAAGGTACTGTCTGTGTGAAGCTGCAAACAATGGTAGCTCAGGTGAAATATAACCCTTTTAGCCTTAGTGAGTTTGTCAATAGAAGCCTGAATAGATTATGATACAAAAGTGAGAGCATCCCTTTAGGGAATGATTCATACCACAGGTCCTGCTCATTTCCATGAATATGCCAGAACTACAGCTGTCCGAAGTATGTACATGCCCAGTCATTCATATAACCCAAATGCGATACATTTTCATATTAAATTATGTATCACACTGAAAATGAAAGAAATTTATAATTAATTCCATAAAACAGATGTAATACCACATTATGTGAAAAGTCACCATGGATTTGAAGACTCCATTTTGGCATTAAGTACACAAGAATGCATCTGCTAGTATATGAAACACCTAAAACTGCTACAGAATCTCTAGTCTACAGATACAAGAATGCCACAATTGGTCAACCTTTCTACAGAATTAAGTATGTCTATACATGATCTTCCAAAGTCCCATTCTTGCTTTGCCATCTGGCACAAAGAGGGAAGAGCATGCTTAAGGTAAAAACCCTACTGTTAGAATTATCCATATAGAACTGGTACAAGAAATTTGGCAGGTAGTCTACAATGGAAAAACTAATTATTCCTTGAATTCCCTTGATGTCCTACACATAGAAAAATTCAGTCAAAATTGTTTATATTCTCTTCTATATTATTTGGTACAACAACTAAAATTTATTTCTGAAAACTAAAATACCAAGTTGCCCAGTGAACAACTCATGGATGTGAGTATACTTATTAGCATTGTAAGGATGTTGAAATCAAGTCACATTCATATTAGGAATGACAGCAAATCTGCTGTTATTTCCTCCCTTATTCTTACTTCTTCCAAAACTTAACTAGTTATTCCATATCAAGTCAGAAATCCTAATTCCACAATTATTAAAAAAACCACAGAGGTCTCAGAGTGGGCTGAAGCCATCAGAAGACCAAGAGTACTAGTTTTAAAATGAAAAAGGATAACTGGAAAGTAGTTTCTCAGTATTTTTTTTATATATTGACATATTAAAGTATCATTATGTATTTTTCCACACACACTAATCATTTATCAAATTATTCACAGGTAAAGACAAAGTATTTCAAATATTCCCTCTGGGCACTGTGGAAAAAAAGAAACAATTTAAACTATTGTATAGACTGAAGTCTGCAGTTTTTTAAAAAACATTATGTAGTACAGGATCTTGTCCAAGGCCTGTCATAGAAGTTAGCCCAGAAGAGATTCCATGTGCAGTGTGAATAACTTCCTATTTTTAATGCTTTCAGTGAGAAGACTATATTCCAGTTTAATATTTTCAAAAAATTACAAGTTTCTTAAAAATAACCACTCCAAAATAATAGAAAGATCCTTTTTTTACATACTGAATACCTTTCTAACAGTGTCTCAAGTAGGCAGACAGGATCCCAGAAACATGCCTACCCTTCAGCTGGCAAGCTAGGTACTCTGCTTGCAGTGTGATTCACACCCTGTTCATGGGCATTCCCTGTGCACTGCCTATGGCAGCCACCACAGACTTAAGGACTCTCTGACACAAGAATCTATAGCTAGGACTTGATGCCTGGCATTTAACAGCCTATTCAGTAGTAGAAATAAGCAGTCAGCTGTATCTATTTTCCCACCCAACTTGGCAGAATTCCTTCTCAGCTAGGGTTGAATAGTAACATGCAATGTAACCTGCTACTTCTCCAGGATTAATGAATTTCTAATTGCTTGTTAGCCCCAGAAGATTTCCTAAAGCAAACACAAAGACAGCTGGAGACACTTGCGGTCACTAAAACAAATGAAAAGCAATCTTTCTAAACAAAATATTTGGTTCTCTTCAAAATCTGCTGGTAATAAAAACTAACAGCAGCTTCTCATGAAGCAGAAGTTTTAATAACCCATGAATAATATACCACAAAGTTCTGTTATTGAAAATATGCTCTCTTCCATGTTGAAAGCAGAGCAGCTTTTCTTCCTCTGGCATATTTTCACAGATCAACCCCATTCTAGTGGGATTTAAACCTTTCAAGAACCATCCTAAGCATGTCTACATTAACAATGAATGAGACAGTATGCACATTCCTTTGGTGGCCAGGGAGGAGATTCTTTTATGGTCATCCTACAGGCAAACTTATGTTCACAGGCTTTCTTCTCATCATGATTAACAGAAACATAATACAAGTCTATCTGGACTGGAGACCAGACTGAGGATCAGTAATCTCTATATGGTTGATGCTGGAAAAGTGGTGATGGAGTTCTAGAATCAGCAGGTCCCAAATGACTGTTGAACACGGGAATTTTGTCCGGTCGTGTTTCACTCACTAGATAGAGAAATTTAGAGCTGTGGTCATTGACATAAGCAAAAGGTTGAATCCTAAACCAGTTGTCAAAGGTCAGATGTCCAGATAACCTATATTTGTTTCTCTAAATAAAAAAAAAGGATTATTTCAGTCTGTACTTAACTGTATATATTTTTTTCCTCCTGCCTCACTTCTACCAGTAACTCAAAGATGCCCACCTTTCCACAATACTACCTTAACACATATCACGTAATTTGGTACCCAAAGTCACAATCCCAGTGAAGAAAGTGATAGCAAATAATTACTTCATTCTCACAAGGGAATTTTGCAGCAAAGCGAGACCTGCCTGTGAAAATATGTTATCTAGTCTGCAATAAAGTCACAAAAAGTGTTTCAGTGGAATGTAGTGTTTCCTTAACTATTTCACTCCAATTCCAGAACATGCATTAATTCACATACAAAATAGAAAGTTTTTAAAACCTGCAGTAGAATGAGTTAGTGAAGTTTTCATAACTTTTTGACCTTGAAAAGAACAGTTACTTCCCAGTGTACATATTTCCCCTCTCAAAGCCAGCTTCCTACTACAACTGCTCTGTAACAACTTTTAAGTATATGAGTACATCTATTACTGAATATTTCTTATACATCTTTGTTTACCAGTGCACCAATAAAATGCTAAATAACAAATAACTTTCAGGCTCCAGCAGTGAAGGAAAACAGAAATGACATCAAATGCACCAGAAGTAACACACAATTCTGTAGTTTCTAGGTAGCTAGGGCTTACAGCAAGCATTCTGTAATTTTGGAGCACTGATACATACAGTTTTGCTGCATTGAATTCTATTTGATATCTGATAGAAATCAGTCACTACAGTCTGGAAATTAATTAATAAAAACAAGCAACATTGTGTGGTGACATCAAGTTGTACAAGGTTATGAAAAATACTTTTTCAAGGCAGCGATAGAAATGCAAAATTATAAAGTAAAGCAATCTGCATAAAATATTGTTGCATATTCTTGATATTGTATTAGAAACAGCACACCCCACTTTGGAAACAGATGTACATTGAATAAATGTCTGAAGAGATGCACTTCAGATTTTCAGCCACTGTTCCTTGTGCTTGCAGAATATGCATTGCAGGGAGACAGGAAAAGAGTTATTGATTCATATTAAGTCATGAGACATGACCAAGACTTTGCTTATGGTCATCTTCTGAAGTTAAACCAAAATATTAATGGTGATTTTGTTATATACTTCATTATTGCCTACACTACTAATGCAAGAATGCTCTCAGTAATGATAATTCAACATATGCATAAACTCCCACAGCCTCTCAAGAAGCTGAAAAAGGAAAATATTTCTGCTTCATAAAGTTAAAAAAAAGAATTTGAAGTTTCTATGAACTAAAGTTTTCTATTTGCTATTTAAAATCTAGACTGCATACTGTTCCAAAAATTTGCAACTGGCCCATGCCAACCAAGGAGAGAGGCTGGGGCGCAAAGAATAGAATTAAAAGAGTAAATCCTTATTCAAGCACATGAGGTGTCCCAGCCAAATTGGGGCACCCTGAATGTGATTCTACATAGGGCTCTCATACCTTTAAAGCACTCGGGTACAACATGATTTCACTAATCACGAGCACGCACACTACCAATTACTAATCATAGTAAAACTTCTCTAGATTATTTCCTATTTCTTCTTTTGTCCTTTCGCCAGTACGGGCTGGCTGATGAATGACAGCTAGTTTCTTTGGTAATTGTATAGCTTTTAACAGTTCACTGTTTACTCCCCCTAGAAGTTAAAAAACCTCATTGCTTCCATAACTGCCCAGTGGTGTGGCAGACTCCAAATGCAAGCTGAGAATTGGTATATTTATGGTCTTTTCTTTGGATGATTGGCAAGTCTTTGTAAATGCAATCAATTCTGCTGCTTGCACACTCAGCTTCAGACTGAGTAGTGAAGCCTCCATTACCTTATCTTCAGTAGTTAATGAAGAACCTGTAACTTGGTTACCGTTCAGATAATGTGAGGACCTGTCCACACAGTCCAGGATCGGGATCTGGCAACGGCACATCCATTAGAATATTCTCGAGGTTGGTTTTTTTGGGGGTTTTTTTGTGCTTACTGCACAATCATGATGTGGTGTTCCTTCACCAGGAAAGGGGAATAGAGTTGTGGCGTTCAGCTTGTTACATTGCTTAACGTAAGGCGCAGGTGTCAGCTATACAAGATTCCATGGCTACTAACAAATGGTTAACGTACTGTGTCAAAAACTGATCCATTTTTTAAACACAACATCCAGTAAAACTTTTACTAAAATTTTAGAACAATAGTGGAGG